CCCCCCCCATGAAAGCAGCCCCAGAGTTGTCCTACCTCTTGAAAATATTCTGGAACAACCTGGAAAAAAATGCAAAAACAACTGGATCAGGACCAGTGAGATTTATAGGGGCCACTTGGCAGAGTTTAAAATCTAATATCAAAAGCCCCCAGGGTAGTCAAAAGACAGTACCAAGGCAAAATTGAGAGGGGAAAAATGGTGGATTTTCCAAAACCTGTGATGGGATGGGTTACACTCCTCTGCCAAATAGTCCCTTCCCTCTAGTGTAATGCGACTGAGATCTGAATGTCATTCACTTTTCTTGAACACGCTTGCAAAACAATTATTTTCAAAAGAACCACCAAAAGATCCTTTTCTTAAAAAATGTGATTCTTTTGCATTTGCCTCACTTCACCTTAATTCTTCATGATTCAGACAGAATGCAGTCAGGTATGAAATCGTTTCCAGTGTGAACAAGGCACATATAAACCAATCAACAAATCGGTTTAAATCATAGTGGAAATAAGCCATAAGTAACACTGTTTTAGAAAAAGTAGACAGTTTTTAGACAAGTAGAATTTTGGATTGGGATCTATTGTATAAGAGTAGACAAGCAATCAATTCTTCATTATCCAGAAATGTGATCTGTGGTAATGCAAACCTAACACGTAACTTACACCCCAAATGAATTTTTGAACAGTGCTGCTACCCATGACTGCTCACAACAGACACTCCCTCAAAACTATTTTGGATAATCTCCAAAACCCATTTTGGAGTAAGGGCTATTTATATACAAGATCCTAATTCATGGTGCAGCTGAACTTTTGAGACAAACCAGGAACTAAGAATTGAAATAAGAGAACCGGAACTATGGATTTACTTTAGCCTTGGAGGCAGACCCATCCTGAATTGATTTGTGATCCACTGTGACTGACTTAAGTGGAAATGGTATTCTTGGGTCTGCACTTTAGCTCCTCAACCTGAAGCCCATTTACTTGCAAACAAGTGACTTCAGATTTCCTCAGTTGGTTTCCCTCAGTTCCAACAGTACAGACTTGGGGAGTTGGTACATCTCATGTCCTTTTGCAGGTTTTCCAAGAGACAGGCTGATTCATTCCCTTCTAACAAGGGAATTCAAAGACTTAACTGTGTTAGCCTGGAAAATCATTATGCAAGGAATCTTGTAGCACCTTTGAGACTAACTGAAAGAAAGAAGTTGGTAGATCTAACAAGGGAAGAAAGCCTTAGCAGGCTTCTGTGGTGGAAGGCCCTGTCCACTCTGCTATGTTCTCTCCATTGCAACAACTGTTGCTACAGAGAACAAGATAGAGCCATTTCAGGGCATTAGTGTTCCAGTATGATTCAGTGTGGATGATTCTTTTTCAAACAAAAAAGCATCTCTGTGGGTTCTCCCCAGCAGCTAAACTTTGTCCACAGAGAAGTGTGAGGTGGGGATCTTTGGAGAGGTTGGTGAGCAGTATGCAGTCCATGTGCAGCACCATTCCCAGCCAGGGGAATAAGTATTGCTTCTTCTAATGGCCTCTCAGAAGATTTGCTGTAGTTGTTGTTGTGTGCCTTCAAGTAATTTCTGACTTACAGAGACTCTAAGGCAACCCTATCATGGGGTTTTCTTCCCATGAGGCTGAGAGCATGTAACTTGCCCAAGGTCACTGTGGAAAAAAGGCAGACTGAAGCATTGGCAACATCCAATCAGAGTGGGCCTGGCAACAGCCAATGGATGCTTAGCCAAGAAAAAGTGGGGGCTAATTCCCAAGAGCAAGTATAAATAGGCTGAGCGAGGAGTGTGTAGATGGATAGGGACATGGATAGGGACAGAGCTCTGAGTTAAGAGGTTTATTAGACCTGGAGGAGTTTTAACAGCTAAGGTATTTGAGATACACTGCAGAACGGAGTTGTAAGGGGTTTTGAGTACCCAGGTTGGCCTTAAGAGAGACCAAGTACATAGAATAGGAATGTGAGGAGGATAAGGTAATATTGCTATCCCGCTCAGTAAATTAATCCAGCTCTATAATTTGATTAAGCTTGCCATCTAAATCATGGTATA